TCACACTTTCGGTGCCCACCCCTGCTTCCGGCTCGGTGAGGGCCTCAGGGAGCACGACCGCGACATTGTGAGCCACCGCCAGAGGGGTTCGTATGTTGCTGTAGCTTGCGGTTCCACTGATGCATGTGTTCGAGCAGCATGGAGCAGTGGAAGCGTCTGTTGCCTGCAGGTTCGTGCTGCGACGAAGAAGCGCAATAGGTTGCGGCTCCAGTGATGCATGTGTTCGAGCAGCATCGAGCAGTGGAAGCGTCTGTTGCCTGCAGGTTCGTGCTGAGACGAAGAAGCGCAAGGCTCCCGCACCTGTAATCCCTCGCGCGCTCCCCCTCCTTCAGCCGGGGTCGGCGGATTGGCTAGTTTGGATAATAATCTATAAATATAATAAATATATAATATATTTGGAATAACGAATAGTATGCAAATGATATAATTGATATCGAAATTGAATTATAGTAATTTAATATGAACAATTTGTTCGATAGGGACGGATTTTTCGAATATAGGAAAAAATGATAATCGAAATTTGGATGTTTTTTTTGATATTAATAGATATTGTTTCAATTTATATTTATATTGATTTAATTTTATAATATATTATTTTAGGATATTGATGTTTTTATGGGAATTTCGAATGATTCGTTTTTTATATTTTTTGGTATTGGGGTTATTCTTTCTTTTTCTTTTTGTTTTGGTTTTGTTTTTATTATTATTATTTTAATTATTATATATTTTTTGGTTAATGTTTGGTCGATTGTTGCTAATTATGATTGATGTTATTCGTTATTGATTATTTTTGGATTTGGTGTATTATTCGGGGGGAAATTGCGATTGCCTCTTTTAATCGGCCTCGCGCCACGAAATTAAATTTAGGTAAATTGCCCGAATAAAAGATTATAATTAAATAAATATGTTTCGTGTGCTATTAGTCTTTATTTTCTATCTCTTTATTGGTAGGTGCAAGAGATTTCAAGCAAGCAAGCAACAAAAAAACGCGAATTGGTAATTTTGAATTTGGTATATTACCCTTCCAACCGGCCTCGTGCCACGAAATTTGCACTTTATCTTCGAAACCCGCACTTGCCACGAAA